TTTTATCACAATACCGTATTGACGGATTTCGGACTCATCATTAATATAGTCCACTCATGTACATAATCGTTACACCGTTATATATAGCGGGAAAAAGCATAAATCTTTGATTATAAATCTTCAAAAACATGTTACCATGTGGGGTCTGCCTTGAAAATCACCTGACATTTCAGATCGGCCCTAGTACCGGTTCATGTTCATATGTTAATCATCTTTTACTTTTATTGATTCAATAGCTATCCGATAAACTATTGAATCAATAAAGTCAAATGATCATTAACATATGAACATTAACCGGTACTTGGGCTTATTATTATCTTTGTCCTAATTAACCCGATTGGAGATGTCGGAGGGTGATTTTCAAGGCAAAAACCCCATACAGTCACAGTAGTTTGTAAATTTTCCAAGTATTTCAACTTAAAAAAAATCAAATAATTATCGCAAGGCTTTTAAGAAATGAAGAATGGATTTACGCTTTAGATTCTTATTGATATATAAGTTTTGGTCATTCTTGTAAAATATTTAAACTTTATTAATTAAAACGAAAAAAAATTTATACCCTAAACACATAAAAAAATAATGTGTAACTTTTTAAAAAGTTCATACAAAGAAATTTCAGTTAATAAAAAGTTCAATATTGTAGCGAATCTATTACAATACCATATGTTTCTTTATAATATGATTTTTTTTAATTTAGCTAATAAAACATGACCTAACAAATTATGTCAACTTAATTAGTCCATATGATGTGTTACCAAATATATTATTCTCTAATAAACTTTTTCTCCTAAAAAAAATAAAAGTAAAATGTCTTATCAGTGCATACAGATTAAAATATAGACTAATTTAATAATAAGATCAATAGTTACTTGTAACATAAACATTACGAGCATGGAAGAATGTGTCATTATGTGGGCCCTCTAACCCCGAATCTCCCTCCATTTCCAAGTTAATAATTAGATAAAATTGTTCTCCAACATATCCAGATACTGTATGTGTTATATTATGCTCATTATTAAGGGAAAATGTTATTTTAACATCCGTCTTATTTGTTTTTTTCATAGAAATACAATAAGTATTCCAATCATTAGGGCAGGTGATAGGAATTTTGTCCCAGTAAATGGGAGTATATTTATTTTGGATGAAAATATTAAAATTATTATTTTTGTCACCTTTAAATTCAAGTATGTCAACTTCGGGAGGCCAGATGCTCGTACTGGTTATCCAGAATGCTGTGGCGGGAAAAAGTAAATACAAGATTAGAATTGAATAACATTGAGTCAGTTCAAAGAAATATTTCATATTAGTTTGAAAAATAAAATAAAAAATGTACCTGGCCAAGCGCCTGGAATCATAGGTCCTATAAAATCACCACATATAACACAAGATGGATATTGATCAGTCACACCAAGATAATTTTTGGCGTGAATAGCACCCGATAGATAATTAAACGTTATATTCTCTGATTTAACAGTTTTTCTAATTGCCTTAAGTGTCAAAACTGAATCATCTAAATAAATATTTTCGTGGTAAGATGAATTGCCTACCATCAGGGCTGAACCCTTATGATGATCAGCCCACCTACAAAAAAAAAGTTGAATTTTATGATTCTAGTGCTTGAGTATAAGAGAAATTAGAAAATATAGCGAATGTAAAGAATACGAACGGATAAAGATAACCCCAATACGATTCAAAATTAGTATAATTTGAAAAAGATGTTGCTGGGATCATTATATCAATATCAGCGAAAATTACAAGAGCAAAATACATGAATGTAAAAAAGAAGAGCGGCGAAGGGACTGTTAAAAAAAACATTTTGCAATTTAGTACTATATTAGTATTAAAAGCTTCTGACAAAGGCATTATATTTATACTTTT